GCAGTAATTTTTCTTACTTCATCATGAGCGGAGTAGGAAATCGATTCACTTATACAATCAGAAAGGAGCTAAGCAGACTTGTTCAGTATACAGATCTTATTTCTCTCAAGTTCTCCGGAACATTTCAGGATCAATGTTCCTACAATTGAAGGGCATTGGGGAACAATATCATACCATCTTGCAGAGTGCGTGTTATTGGATTGAGCACCCTAGGAAAACTACTGAGAAAACTGGAAAGCAAGGCAATTATGGCGTCCAACAAATTGTTCTGACTATCTCATTTCCGTCCCCAACAAGCTAGCTACAAGTGACGACGCTTTCGTTGAACGAGGGGAGGAGGCAATAGTCAAAAATCCCAAATTCCTAAAAAAAAATGTCAAAACGAAAACTTATAAGACTTTTCTACATTGGTTTCGTCAAAGTGACTCCTTGAGAAACAAACGAAGCACGATGCCATGCCAGCATTTCCTTCCTCAGTACTATCTCTTTCTCATCGGCTTCATTTCTTCATCTTAGCATCACTGCAATGTGGCTGCTTGACTGGTAAGCTCTTTCATCCTTTTTGTTTCTGCATTGAGTCGCTTTACTCTCGAGTTCTTTGTGTTTCAGCAATCACCCTCATCTTATTTTATACTTTACACTTTGTTTTCCTTTTTATGTTCTTGTTAGTTATCGTTGAAGTTCTTAACAGCTGCTACCTCTAACTGCCCTCTTGCTTGACTTGTTAAAGCGCGTCTTCTGGGCGCACAGTAAAAAATAAATGAATGTCTTGGAAGTTTCGAATTTTTAGAGTTAATTTATTTGTCTTTCAATTTTCAAACTGAATTGGTAACACATTTTTCTTATTGGTTGAAGATCCGCTTCTTGATGGCTAGTAGTGTACTTTTTTAGGTGAAGTACACGGTACACACAAAGACTCGTCTTCAAGGCATGCGCGCTGAGACGTCGGTGGTTCGGGAGCATGAGGAATTTCTCTGGCTCCACAGTGTGCTGGATGAGAACGAGAGCTATGCTGGTTTCATTGTGAGTGGGCACATTTGTCTGGCGTGGTATTGCAGCAGATAGAATTAATTGGACCTTCACCTTTTCTTTTCTGAGCTACATATAGAATTAATTGGACCTTCACCTTTTCTTTTCTGAACTACATAGCTATTAGTTCGGTTAACTTTGAAAAAACCACAGCAGAAAATCGAATTTGAAATTTTTTTGCGCTGCTCGACTTGGAACGACATCACATCAGTATCTTCGTAAAAAGCTGTATTTAAGGTCCCACCGGCTCCTCCACGCCCTGATTTTGACTCGTCACGAGAGAAATTGCAGAAGCTTGGTGAAGGGGAGGCGACCATGACAAAGGAGGAGTTTCTGAAAATGAAGCAGGAGCTTGAACAGTACGTCAAGAATTTAGAGCGTTTCTTAATTCTCGTGTACTTCCCTAGAAGTAATGATTTTCCCAAAAAATAACCTGTGGATGATTGAAGGACTATCTCGCCTGTGTGTGTGTTTTGGCTATTGCAGAGTGGTTTTCTTACACGAGGATTGCGCTCATCCGGTGTTTCGGAAGACTCAATTCCGCATCTTTTTAAATATGAAGACGAAGTAGTCATAATTTCAATTTTTTCACTTTTGCTAAGTTTTTTGAGAGTTTCTGCCTTTGACTGTAATTTCAATATTATGAAGCTGTTGTTTATTTAACTCGTTTTGGTCAAGCTCAAATGAAAAATTTGCTTGGCGTGCTTCCTTTGCAACAATAATATCTTGCGGTTTTCATTCGACGTGCAGCGATTCAACGTCCAGGGACTAGTCGCGTGGCGTCGTACCCTCGATTGTCGCATTGTCTGAAACTTACCTTATATTAACAGAGCCAGAACTTTTGATTGATAGTCTCTTGGTTACTACCAGGCAGTAAATTGATCTCTCCGCTTTTTTGGCTTTTTCATATGGCTCCACTTGTCAATCGAGATTCAGCTGAACAGGAGAGGGCATCACGCCTTTCGTAGTCCTATGGTTTGTGGCACTCAAATATGTGCTCGTTGATTTTGGTGCGTGTAATTATCTCAGTTTTTCGAAATTCCTATTTTTGACTTTATTGTCAGTCTTGATCTGACAGTTTTCGTTCTTATCCGTAATAGTTAAAGCAACCTCAATGGAAAACCAGGAAGATTTGTTTGTTGCCATCGGAGAACAAAACGCTTGATGCTCATTTTCTACTGATATACTAAATTTACAGACTTCAAACTGTTTTTGCTTCATTTCTTCTACTGCACTATTAGGATTTTTTCTTTTACAAATTTTGGTCGACCTCTATCTTCCATTCCCAGCACCGTTTCTCTTCACTCCTAGTCATCAAGAATGAATAGTTTCTCATTGTCCTTCATTCTCCACATAGATGCTTCATCTCCTCTTTTCTTTGTACCTACCATCTCACCATTTGCATGGAAAAACTTCCTTGCGGTCTCATTCTTAGAGACATGTTTTTTTTCTGCTCGGTTACACTAACCCTCTTCGGTGTGGCGTCTTTGAAAAGTCTCGTTTCATTCTCCAAATATCTTTAAATAGATTGAAACCCAAATTTTAGGAGGAAAATTGTGCAAAACTCATGAATCGACAGTTATGTGCTTTTCATATTTTTTGGAACGACACATATGCCAAGTTTTAGATCCTTCGAATGTTTCCGGGTTCCCGACTATTTTTTATAGCCTTTATTCTTTTTGCACATGCCGAAATTTTTTTCTCGTTCTATTGAATGATCGATTTTTCCGGGAAGTTGGTTATTCTGACACATGGGGAGGAAACATCGAAATATGCGAATATTCTCCTCAAAACTTGAACGAAAGGCTGAGTAGGGACAAATCGAGTTTGAATCCGTAGATACAGACATGTGTCAGAATTATTTGCACAAATTTTCTCTTTCTCATGTCTTGTCGAATGTGAAATCACGCAGGCGTTCATTCAGAAAGATTTCCTCAAAACGCATATGCAGCAAAAAAATACAAATTGGTCTTTGACTATATCTTTGCTAAATTTTCATTTTTGCCGTTATATGTTATGG